CGTACTTATGGTTTTTGACATCTACGTAAACCAAATGCAAAAAAAATACATGTAAAATGTTGTTGTTGCAGAACTGCCACCACCTTATCTGAATTCGCCTTGGCTGTGTGTTTCATTGCCTTGTGTATATTGTTTTTGTTTCTTGGTGTATTCAGTTTCGTATGTTTGGATGTCTGTTGGTTTTACTGGTTTTATTTTTTGTGCGTTTATTTCGTTTAGCGTTGTTGTTGTTCATTTTGTTTTGCTATTGCTATAATAATGAAATAGGTAGAATTGATATTTTTAAATACACTGTGGTGAAGGGTATATAAGATTATATAAGATAGCACTCTTACTTGTTTACTTTGCTGCTTGACTTTGCTTGTTTATGTTCTCGTAGTTATAGTTAAGCAAAAAGACAAAAGCAGAACATAGTGAAACAAATACAAACCCTGGTTTCAGAGGTATGTATGTATATCATCCGGTTCGTGTCTAACGTATTTTTTCGAGGGATATTGTATAAGCGAGGTCAAATCATAGACCAATTTAAGCAATTTTAATAACTTTGTAAAAACATCTCCAGTCTTGCGATGAAATTCATACATATTTCTACAAGTTACTTAAACATCTTATATGTATGTCAGGCATCAGCTTCTGCTTTCTAAATCCATTGTGGAACTTAAAATCGGTCAAGATTCAACAAAGTTACTGACTTATAAGTGATTAAAGGTACGAAACTCCGTTTTTACCCGTATCTTCAGATTTTGGAGGTGTTTGGAATATTTTTAAAAAAGATTCTTGTTCTACTTCTTCTCTACCTTTCAGAAAAATAGTATCACTTCCCAGGTACATAAGTACTGTATTATGCATTTACATTAGCTTTACATTGGTATATAACACTTGATGGTTCCATACTGTTATAAATCAAATTTTTAACTAAAATATGTATTAACATAATTTATATTAAACATCCATTCACCTTCGTGAGAAGGTTATATATATGTTTGTCATTCCGTTTTACTACAATATAATTTTCCGACTCTATAAAGTATATATGTATATTCTTGATCCTTATAGATAGCGGAGTCGATTTAGCCATGTCCGTCTGTCTGTCTGTCTATCCGTGTGTATGTTGAAAGTGGTTTTCAAGAGACCCCAGATATCTGCGAGATCCGTACAATCAATAATTCTATGAGACATATGATCGGGAAGGACGCCATTTAAAATCAGCAAAATCGGTCCATAAATAACGAAGATATGAGCAAAAATCATGTAAATTAAGCATGTAAGTCCAGGAGTAAGTGAGAACCTATAAAAGGGGATTTTTTGGTACTTTTTCGTTCTTCTTTTGGAACTTAGAAATACGAAATTAAGATTAAGTGATAAAACATAAAAGGGTACTTTTGGGTACTATTTCCTTCTACAAAAGATACTTTTTGAATTTATATATATAAAAATCAATGTATGTTTGTTTACTTGTTTGTTTGTACCTTATAGGAGGCTAAACCAGTGAAGCGATCTTCTTTAAATTTTCAGTGTATGTTCCCCTACATCCGGAAGGAACTATAGGCTACTTTTTATTTTGAAATTGCAATGATACAACTAGAGTCCTGAAAATTTTTATGGGCAATTTTGACATCCATATGATTATTTGGTGAACAAATTGGAGGACAAGCAATAGGGGTGTGGCACCCCCCATCTATAGATATAAAAATGAATGTGTGTTTGTTTGGACTTTATAGACAGCTAAACGGCTGGACCGATTTTTCTGAAATTTTCAGTGTCTTCCTATGTCTGGAAGGAACTATAGGCTACTTTTAACTTCAAAATTTCACGTGGGCGACGTGCCACGCCCACATTCAAAATAAGTATTAAAAGTCGCATATCTCATAAACTGCAAGAGTTGGAATCTTTTGTATGGACAACTTTAACATCCATAAGAATATTTTTGGATAAAATGGGCGGAATGGCTATATTGGGCGTGGCACCTTTCATGTGTTGGTACCTCCCATATGAATAAGTAGAAAAAATCGTATGTCTGGGAAACTTTTAGAGCAAAAATCCTTTGATATCAATGTGAAAATTTGGGTAATAAATTGGCGGACTAGCATATTTGAACCTCCCATATGAATTAAATAAAAAATTCATATATCTGAGAAACTATTAGAGCTAGAAAATTTTACATGAAAAACTTTGACATTTATGTGAACATTTAGAGAAAAATGGGCGGACTTTCAATGGGACCTTGGCATCTCCCATATGAATTAAACTATTATATTATTAAAATTTTTCATAGGTTACATTAAAAACTAAATTAACATTTGGCAAAATTGACGACCTTGCAATAATTTGCGTGACATCCCCAAAATGGAAAAAATGTATATCTGAAAAACTATTATAGTTAGAATCTTCAAAATCGTAAAGTGCTTTTTTTATATACATTGATTTTAAGGTAGCAAAGCACACTGGGTATAGCTAGTGTATATATATATATATATAAATATTTATACTTAATACTCACTTTATTTTTTCCTCATCTCGCTTTGAGAAAAAAACATTTCGTTTCAACATAATCATAGGTTCGTCATACTTCTTTTCAATTGGATTTCCATGACTAAACTTTTCCAGTAAATTAGGCCATGCTACTCGTACAACATAAGGTCGATGATGCGATTTAAGTTGAATTTCAAGAAGCGCACTTGTCATCCACAGACCAAAAATACTTTGTGCCAATAATTTATTTGCTATTCCCAATTCTTCACAGCCAAGAGCAGCAGCTAGCATCACCTGAGATGGACATTGAGCTGTTCCCTCAATTTCCATATGCACAGCAACACGTGACATTAAATACACACAGGTTGGTATCACCTACATTGCGAAAATAACATATGTACATATTTATTTATTGATTATTATTAGTTTATTTTTGTTTTATGAAAATTTTAATATCATGACGCGAGACAGATGCACACTGTTTTAAATTTAGGTGACCAAAAACCCACAAATGAACTTTTATCAAAGTTTTGTAGTGAAAATGATGGTGATTAGTAGGGAAACCAAATGTTTTAAATTGTGCATCGAATGGATTCATGGAGTTTCAAAACAATTTTATTCAAAAAATATAATTTTTTCTTTTGTTTAAAATAATTTCCTTAAATTGTTTTATTAATAATTCGGGTTCGAAATAGAATTGGTGTGTGACAAATGTCAGTTTAGAAACTATGAATACAATTGGAAGAGATGTGTCAAACTTTGTTTGAATTTTTTGTATATGCATACATACTTATGTATGTCTATGAAAGTGACATGAAATCCTATTTAACTACCCAGCAAAAACTCGGTAATGGGTTGTACTTCCATAACCACTTACTTTTCACTTTCAAACTAATATAGAAGTACTTTATTTTCGGCATTGTTATTTTGTTTGCACATTTTATTTAATTGCGTGTTAAAAATTGTGTTTTACAAAAAAAGAAAACAAAATTAGTTTTGTGTGTGAAAACCATTATTTGACGCGCAATAAAATAGGTAAGCAGTGGTGCAGTGAGTAGAACATTTGACTAACAAACCGAAGTCCCTGGTTCGTATTCTAGCTTGCTCTTTTTATTATTAAAGAACAAAACAACTTACTCAACAACTGTTTTGTAAGAGAAATTGCAAGTACTTCTTTAACTCCCTATTTGTAAGCGAGCGTAGAAGTACTTGCCTCCAATGACATCACCGTGTTAAAATAATGACTTAAATGCTAATGAAGAAGTAGTGAAAAGAGCTTTTATTAGCTTTTTAACTCATTACTTTTCAATGTAAGTTTTTCCTGGGTAGTGCTTCAAAGTATGATAAATCTCAAATATCATAGCATAATTTCAGCATACTTGACTTCCCCAGTGATTAGGATACTAGTTTTGCCTCACTTTATGATTATTTTCTTTTAAAAATAAAGTTCGATTTTTATATATTTTCTTGTTTGCATTAATTAAACTTCTTTTGAAATAAAATAAAATTGTAAAAAATATTTTTTCTAATTTTATGTTAGCTCTGTTGTTTGATTTACGAAATAAAATGTTAATTAAATATTTTTTGTTGTTAATTCTAAGTAAATAAATTTGTTGACGTTTATTTTATTAATTTCAAACAAAAAAAAATTAAAATTATAGTGGCCTCCGGTTGGTTAGTGGTGAGTGTTCTAGTCTGTTAGACCGGAGGTGGTGGGTTCAATTCCTATCTGAAGCACTGGCAATGGAGCGCAGAAAAGGCCCTAGATAGAGGCCTAGGTGTATTTCTTCGGATTTGATGTATATATGTAGATCCTCCTTTCAAACTAACTAATTAACTAACTATACAAATTATATAAAAACACTATTAAAAAAATTAATAAAAATATGTACATAAGAGGTGCCCAAAAATATCGATTTTGCTCAGATGGGTCTTATTTTGTTTATTAGTGTCTAAAACTAACAGGTGTTAAATTTTAGTCAAATCGGATAATAATAACCCGTGCCGGAAATCGATTGAAAAGTGTAAAATGGGGTAAAAAATTTGACTTTTTTAATTTCTTCAAATTTGCATAAAAATTATGTATTCTTAACATTACGAATTTCCTATCCAAAACTCATGCAACCGGAATCTATGGTCAATGACACGGGCAGGAGGATATGAAGGAGACGATGAAACTCCTAATGGACTATCATTTCTCACCGGGTATATCGAATAACGTAGATGAAGGAGAGGCTAACACGGATATTGTAATTACATCTGATACGGTTAAAGAGGCAATCAAAAGCTTTGAGCTGCATGGCCGGATGGCATTTTCCCGGCACTTTTACCGATGGAGACGGGACTGGTTTCCGTACATCTGTCTCAGATATTCACTGCATGCTCGAAATTGACATATACCCCCATTAAATTGTAGGATGCAAGGGTAATATTTATACCCAAACCAGAGATACCTAGCTATGCGACACCTAAGTCCTATCGCCCGATAAGTCTTACGTCCTTCCTACTTAAAACCTTGGAACGGATAGTCGATAGCATGGTTAAAAGCAGTATAAAATTTAAGGTGCATGCTTATATAAAGGGAAGATCGGTGGAAACCGCTTTAAACGAAGTTGTCCACTACAAAGGTGAATCATTCGATTGCAAATTGTACACTGGCGATATGCATTGACATCGATGGCGCTTTCAATAGCGTGCACACTGATACTCTTATCCAATTCCTAGACCAGTTTTATGTTGACCGGGTGCTCCGTAACTGCATCAACTACATGCTAAGGAACAGATGGATAAGCTGCGAGATGTACGATGTATAACTATCAGGAAAAAGATATTTCGCGGTATACCACAGGGTGGCATTTTGTCACCTTTATTCTGGTTACCGCGATTAATAGTGTCCTAAGGACACTAACCGAGAAAGGACTTATACCTATCTGTTATGCAGACGATGTGTAAAACTTTAAAAGGGAAAGGATCTAAATTACTTGTGTAGAAGAGCTGAGGGGGCTCTGAATACGGCCTTAATTTCTACTTATACTGAACCTTGCTTCCTGAGCAAGAAAAAACCGGTGGCAGACAAAGGTAAGTACTTAGGTGTAATCCTCGACCGGAAAATAAAATGGAGACACCACATAGAGGATGGGATCAACATGGCACATCGGTGCTGGGCGATATGTAGGAGAACTATAGGCATGAGATGGGGTCTTAGTCCTACTATGACAAATTGGCTTTATAAAAGTGTAATTAGACCAATTCTAGCTTATGCTTCAATAATCTAATGGACTGCTTTGGACAAAAAGTGTAAAATCAAAATACTACAGGGAGTTCAGCGTACATGCTGCTTGGATATAAGTGGTGCCATGTGTACTACTTCAGCCGAAGCTCTGGAAACGTTGAAAGATATTCCACCCATTGAAACATATTTAAGATATGAAGCACGTCATCGGACGTGCCTGATCGCATACCAGACACAGAATATGTCGGAAACTTTGAAACGCTGATCCCAGATAGAATGTCTTGGTCGAAAAACTAGAGCAAGTACCACGGATGGCTCTAAATTGGCGTAGAAAGTGGGCTTGGGGTTCTATATTAAAGACCCAGAAATAGAAATAAACCACCGTTTACCTAATCATAACACAAGCATGTACGGAATGCGTAAATTGGATTATAATAAATGTGGCGCCCACAGCCCTTAATATATGTATTTACTGACAGACAGAAGGCAATTAGGGCGATATCAGGTGATATAAATAAATCTAAGACCGTATTGAATTGTAAGAAAGCTTTAACTGAATACTCTCCCGGAGGTAAGGTTTACATCATGTGAGTAGTCGGCAACGAAAAGGCGATTGTAATAGCTTTAAAGGGACGAGAGCTCGACGTAGTTAACCTGACAAACGCAAAACTATTCGACGCAACAAAAGCTGAATTAAAAATATGGGTGAGAGAATCCCATAAGGCCTCTTGGAATAATGAAACGGTGGGTAGAGCCACAAAGATTCCATGGGGTGACCCTGATGAGAACAAGACAAGAAATCTCCTCAAAATGAGTAAGTACGAGCACAGCTATACAAAATTGGGCGGGCGGATTCAGACGAATGTAGAGCATATGGAGAGGACAATGAAACTTTGGAGCTCTTTCTTTGCCACTGTTAGACATTCGTCGAAGTTAGATCCAAGTATCTTGGAAGTGATGTTATTCCGGAAATAACATTCCTGACTAACACTGATTGGAAATTCTTAGAAATTACTTCCAGGAAACTAAGTTTCTGAACATTGAAGAATAATATACAAAAAAATAAATAATATATTCGTAAAAAGGAGCGCGCAACAGGCCCGATAGTGGCCTATGTGTATTTCTTCGGATGTACTATACATCCTCCTATCAACCTAACCTAACATTACGAACGAATCTTATCTTATAGAGAAAATTATCTTTCCAACAAGGTATAAAATATTTATGTACATATATCAAGCGTCAAATAACAAAGTTATAAGCTAATTAATTCATATTTTACTCGTTTTTTTTTTAATATTTTTGTTTACATCACTTTGATATTGATATCTATGCAACAAGATAATCAACAAGATATGTTTTATAAATAACACAAGTCAACAAAATCAAACTTTTTGCGTGCCTTTTAAATAAAAATAGTTAATTCCTATGTATTTCAAAGTTTTTTTTTAACAACATGGAAATCTACACAAAATTATCTTTTTAAAGAGTATAATCATGATGAGAGTTATTGCAGTATAACTAGATTGCCTTGCAAGGAAGTTGAAAATTGAGCCTTTTTTGTTTTATCCTTATAACAATAATTTGAGCTAAATTCATTTGACTTTCTCTATAAAGTACTACCAACATAAACCAATAATACCATTTTTCGGTAAAATTGGAAATTCGTTAAAAACGCAGTGAAATATTTCGGATTGAATTCAACTTTTGTTTGTTATTTTTACATACTCATGAATACAAAATATTACACAATTCACAATCTGTGACGTTGTATGTCGTAAGTTTTCACTATTCTTTTGTTTTTGTGTCAAAAAATTTTGTCTGAGAAATATTAATTACATATGATGATACAACGATACGATACCGATAGAGAATATTGTTAAAAGTAAAAAAACACATTAAACAAAAATCATGAATTTATTTCAAAATATTTCACTAAATTTTTAACGAATTTCCAATTGTTATTTCAAAATTTTGTTATTGTTATATGTTGGTACTATATTGTAAAAAGAAATAAAACTCGTTTACCTCAAATTAAAGTTATAAGGATAAAACAAAAAAAGTACAACTTTCAACTTCGCTGCAGGACATCCAAGGTATCCTCCAAAAACTGTCAGCATGACTACTCTAATGATAGATAATT